TAAGCTCTTTCATTGTAATACATCTTGAGACATTAGAGGTGGAGATTTTTTTTTTCCTGCAGAACTTCAAGAAGGAGGTGATTTCAGAAATTTGGATAGTCAAATAAATAAAGATTTCTTGAAGTTTCCAATTAAGGTAGACAACTTGGGAAGAGCTAACTGTTTCCAAAGTATGTTAAAAGAAGCCTTTTGTTTGTCACTTTATTTAAATCACAGGGAGAGGGAAGCGAGATGGGAAATCTTTTTTTCCTTCAGGAAGAGCAGTAGAACTTCTACCTTACCAGTTTTGAGATTTTTTTTCCCCCTCAGGTTTTCTCCCCCTGTTCATCATTTGTTCTCACATTTGTGAGGAGAGTACTCATGAATGGTTTAAGAAGCTGTTCATTACTACTTAGCTACCGTGTGTTTCTAATACAGAGAGTGTTCCCTAGTTCACTGCTAACTCCTCGTCTGCTCTTTTCTGTTCATCAGTTGATCTCATAAGAAGTGGCATTGACATTTTGGTTGGGACCCCTGGTCGAATCAAGGACCATATTCAAAGTGGCAAGCTGGACCTTACCAAGGTGAAACATGTTGTACTTGATGAAGTTGACCAGATGCTGGACATGGGATTTGCTGAGCAAGTGGAAGACATATTGCGAGTTGCATACAAGAAAGGTAATCTCAATAGTTAAACAAATAGTAGGAAATCTTAGTAATAATTTAATCTGCTAAAATTCAGGTATCTTTTTCTGAAAGTGTCAAGGTGGCTTTGTTTAGAAATGACTGAATACTATACATTGCAGCAAGTGTACTGTGGACACACAGTGTTGTAAAAGTGGGAATCATTCCTTGGACCTTTGCAAAGATTAAAATTCCAGGGATTAGAACCTAGGGATCTGTAAATAACTTTCTTTGACACCTATCTGTAAGTTGTACTTGAACTTCTTCCAGTTAAAAGGAATTAGAAGCTTTATACCCTTTTCACCCCTTGAAAATAGACTGGGTTTTTTGGTCATAGTAACTTTTTTACTGATCTTGAAAACATTTAAACTTTCTAGAGTATATTTTTTCTCCAGATGTTGGTAACGCGTAACTTTAAAAAGCAGAATTGGTTTATGTTTATTTTATATACTTATATCTGACCTTGTAATTTTAATAAACCGTATGATCAATTGTATACAATCTGTAAGATGAAACATATGGAGTTTGTGAACTGTTGTTCCATGTTATAAGATTCTGAAGACAATCCCCAGACACTGCTGTTTTCTGCAACTTGCCCACACTGGGTGTATGATGTGGCTAAGAAATACATGAAGTCTAAATATGAACAGATTGACCTTATTGGGAAAAGAACTCAAAAAGCTGCTACAACAGTGGACGTGAGTATCTAATGTGGAGTGTTTTCAGGGCTTTTCCCTTTTATGCTACAAAGGCTCATTCCATCCTAAGGTGCATTATCAGAATGATATTGAAAGTTCTGAGAATTATTATTTATTATTGTTATTGAAATTATTATTTAATTATTATTGTTATTGAAATTCTGCTATTCTATATACAGGAGGTTTTTTCACACTTCCTATGTTCTCTCACCTCACTAGGCCTTTGCTTGCTATGCAGTAAATACCATAGCAAGGAATACAATACAGATATGCTAGAAGCCTGAATTACCTTTACTTGATAAAATAAGATACTGTTTCTGCTAAAGTACTGCTTAGTGGTCACTTTGACAGATCAGTTGGACACATGGTAATTGTATCAGTGGGTTTGAAAGAATGTTAATCTTGTGCTTGAAAAAAAGCTTTTAACACAGCTGTATTTATTTATTTCACTTCATCTGACATAAAACCTTAGTTGATAGAACTGTGACAAAATCTTGTAGCTCTGAATGTCCTCCACATACCTGGTGTAACATCTGTTTTTCTCCTTGCTTAAAAAAAATGATTTGTAAACTGTAATCTTTTGTCCATCTGTGGTGGACATAAGAGCCTTATGGATTTTGCAAGTTCCAAGACTGTGAGTGAGCATGTTTTGTCCATCAGGAAACTGCATAACTCTCTAGTATTTCTGGATTTTACAGTTTCAAATGTATTAAAGAATCTTATGTTTTTATGTAAGCTAACCACTGGAATTGTTTTTCATAGCATTTGGCAATAGAATGTCACTGGACTCAGAGAGCTGCGGTTATTGGAGATGTCATTCAGGTCTACAGTGGCAGCCATGGGAGGACCATCGTCTTTTGTGAGACCAAAAAAGAGGCAAATGAACTGGCTCTAAATGCTTCAATCAAACAGGTATTTTATAATCTGTATGAAGTAACAAAACCTGTCAGAGATGTATCAACCCTATGGTGATACCAGACCTATGCTGAGTAAGTTCTATAGAGAGACTTTCAAAGTGGACAAGGCAGGCTTTTGCAGGTGGTTCAGCCTAACTGGTTGAAAGTTTATGGCATTATAGCCTTCAGGGCTAGGCTGGGCTGGGCTACAAAGGATTTTTTTCTTAAAAGAGTTCTCATCGACATTAAATGAAACAGTTGTGAATTATTTTTTCTGTATTATTTTCAGAGAGGACTGTATCAGATTTAAAAAAATGGTGGTAGACTTGGAGAACTACTAGGATAACAGGTCTGAAATAGCAGTTACTGAGCTCTGATGCTGACATTAATTAGTGTTGTTGCAGCAGGGGCAATTAGGGTTTAGAGCTGTAATAGACCACAGGCTATAGCTGTATTTTCATTAAGATGTTTGTTAGCTGTTATGAAGAGTTTAAAGATGTATACACAGAAAGAATGAAATCTGCCATCTCTTGTGAATGAGCTTTAGTGCATACCTGAGATTTGTGGTACACTCTAGCATTGGCAGGAAATAACTTGCTGATATAGTGGTGCAGTGTTTATGATGTGTAGCAACACTGGGACTGCATGCTCATTCTTGGTGGTGGGATCACAGCGACTATTTTTGTAGTGTTTTCATTGAGGAGATGGGTTAAATTACGTCTAGAAAGCAGGATAGCATTATGTTCCTAGGGAAAGGAGAAGCTTTATATCTGCCACAAGTGTGTTCAGCAGTGTTTCTCCCACACTCCTACATGACCTCACTAGCAGTTAAACCTCAGTGTGGAGCCTTATCCTTCATTACTGGTGGTGTTAGTGGTATCAAATCTTGCATAGGCAATGCACAACTCTGATCTTGGCAGGTAAAAGAAGGAAATTACTTAGATGTTTCTGTTTTAGCATATTAGTATTTGCTAACAGAATATATGACTTGCCGGCTGGGATTAATCCAAAATTGTCTGAAAAAAGTTTTTGAATTCTGTGCTGACTCTAGCATTGTGTTAGTATTTTTTCAAATCATTCTCTGTTTACCTGTAGTAAACATGATAGCCATCTACAGGCAAGCTGTGAAATGTGGAGTAGCGTATGCTTGCTCTTCATACTTGTTATTGCAGTGATACAGGAATTTCAGAATGTGTGGATTAAAAAAAAATCTTTGAATCACAGAATCTCAGGAGTTGGAAGAGACCTGGAAAGCTCATCCAGTCCAACCCCTGCCAGAGCAGGATCACCAGACCAGGTCACACAGGAACACGGCCAGGCGGGTTTTGAATGTCTCCAGAGAAGGAGACTCCACAACCTCTCTGGGCAGCCTGGGCCAGGGCTCTGTCACCCTTTACCCCAGTAAAGAAGTTTTTCCTCATGTTCAGATTGAACCTCCTATGCTCCAACTTGCTCCCATTGTCCCTTGTCCTGTCATTGGCTGTCACTGAGAAGAGCCTGGCTCCTTCCTCCTGACACTCACCCTTTACAAATTTATAACCATGAATGAGGTCTCCCCTCAGTCTCCTCTGCTCCAAGCTAAAGAGACCCAGCTCCCTCAGCCGCTCCTCATAAGGGAGGTGCTCCACTCCCTCCATCATCTTTGTGGCTCTGCGCTGGACTCTTTCAAGCAATTCCCTGTCCTTCTTGAACTGAGGGGCCCAGAACTGAACACAATATTCCAAATGCGGACTCACCAGGGCAGAGTAGAGGGGGAGAAGAACCTCTCTGGCCTACTCACCACCCCTTCTGATACACCCCAGGATGCCATTGGCCTTCTTGGCTCAAGGGCACATTGCTGGCTCATGGTCATCCTGCTGTCCACCAACACCCCCAGGTCCTTTTCTGCCTGTAAGTAGTAGTTCATTTTTTTTAGGGGCACTTATATTTTAGTCTTTTAACTAGTAGTGGGAGAAATTAATATATTAAGGAGGATTAAGAAGGAACGCTATTTTTGGGAAGACATCTAAATGAATACTAAGAAGGCCTGAAAAAATTGTCAATGATCCTTTTGAAACAGTTAACCTCACGTAGATAGTGTGGATGGCAAGTTAGGGCGTTGTTGTTTTCATAGGTCACAGTAATTAGGAGTGGAGATAATGCCATGTTGTGATTCTGTTTTCCTACCTTTGTTAAAGGTTTTTGAGGTATATGAATAAGAAGTAGAGTGAATATTGTAAGACACCTAAAATGTGAACTCTGGTAATTCAGTTCTTCTGTATCTTGCCATACGATATCAAATACAAAATACTGTACCCAAAACTGACCATAAAATGAGGCACCGTCTTGGATTTTGCTGTTTTTCAGGATTGCCAGTCATTGCATGGTGACATTCCTCAGAAGCAAAGAGAGATCACACTGAAAGGTTTCAGAAATGGTACATTTAAAGTTCTGGTTGCCACCAATGTAGCTGCCCGTGGTTTAGATATCCCTGAAGTTGACCTGGTTGTACAAAGTTCACCACCAAAGGTAGGAGATGGTTCTGTTGGGTGTTTTGTAATAACTTACAGTTTTGTTTTAAAGTAGTAAATGCCATCAGGTGGTACTCACCACACAGTGTGTCAGCATTGCTTTTAAGGGCAAGAAATGTCCTGATATATAGAAGTAGCTTCTTGGAGGATTTTTTCAGAGTGCATCAGTCTCTAGTACGTTTAAAGAAGGTCTCCTTAAAATGCCTTCTTTTAAAGCTGATCAAAGCCTCTCCCTTCAAAGCCATGTATGGTGATTGCAAGTCTGGAAGCAGTGGACAGTGAAGAAAGGCTGTTTTTCTGGCAAGAAGGATTCAATAAGTAGGGGCATATATGAGGAGAGTACCCCTACAGTGAGAACACTGGCTGAGTTAAGAGGACTTACAAGAAACAAGATAATTTTTCAGTGAATTTGCTATTAATATCTCAGTAGCCATACCCAAGGTGATATGCAGAAGGGCGAGTGCGATTGTTATAGAGGTATACACACTCAAAATGTTTTCTCATATTCTCTGTAGTGATGCCAAAACAAGACTTAGTTGACACATGCTCATGGTTCTGGCTTTTAAACCGTGATTTTTAGAGTTACGGAAAAGCTTTAGGGAAACAATGGCTTTTATTTAATTCCCTGATGCAGTTATTTTGTATTGTTCAGACTTAACTGTAATAGCTTCTACTAAATTATGTGAATGCAGTGAATTGATTAAATTACAATAAAAGAGAGATGTCATAAGGCTATTTATTTTGAAGGATGTGGAGTCCTATATCCATCGTTCTGGACGCACAGGTCGAGCTGGACGGACTGGGATCTGCATCTGTTTTTATCAGCGCAAGGAGGAATATCAGTTGAGACATGTGGAACAAAAAGCGGTAAAGCATATTTTTCTTTTACAGAAGACAGCTTCTAAAGCACCCAGTTGGGATTCGGGTATCCTTGCAGGGTATGGGTATGCTGTCAGTTACTGTGGAGCAGGGAGCGTGCTGCAGATTCTCATGGCCATGCTTTTTCAGCAAAGATTGTACCTATGGAAGTGAGAAAAAGCCAGCAGGATTTCAGTTTACTGTTCACCCTGGCTTATTGTCTGGTCAGTGATTTTTATATGTGTAGCTTTACTGAGAAGCATTACTTCCATTTTTGCACTTTGTGCACTGTTACATATGGTAGTTTTCTCACCAATTAAGCATTCAGTTGGGATGAGATAGTTTAGCCTCAGTACATAAAGCTCAGATTTACTCTAAAGAAAGGTTGTGTAACATGTACTTAAATCCAAGTAAATCAGACTAAAATTAATAATTTAGAATTTGTAGGACTCTTTTTGTTTTTTTCCCCTGGAATCTGCCAAAATGGTCTCTGCTTATTTCACTTTTCCAGGTCACTGGATCATTTAAACTGACTTGGTACATAAAAGGCTTTACCCTGTAAGCTTTACCTTGTACCTTTCACTAGCAAAAGCTGGTAGTTAAATGGTGAAAAGAAGCAGAAAAATGATAGGTTTGAATGTTTGTTTAATTGGAGCCCAATACTGGTTCTTTAGAACTGATGTATTTATGGTCTACAACTTTCATCTGTATTTTGCTTTTTAAATTTCAGGGCATTACATTCAAGCGTGTTGGTGTTCCTACTGCAAGAGATATAATAAAGGCTTCCAGCAAAGATGCCATCAGGTGTGTTTGGTGACTCAAACCCTGTTGTATTTTCCTGTCTTCCTAGTTCAGAAGGGCTGTTTGGATTGCTCGTCGCTGTCTCTCTGAATTCTCTGAGCTGATCACTATTAAAGTCTTGGACTGCTGTTTTTCTTCTGTTCCAGAGCCTAGCAAATACTAGTTTATAATTATTTTTCTTTTCCTTTAATTACTTAGGTGCCTGGATTCTGTTTCCCAGACTGCAATTGACTATTTCAAAGAATCTGCTCAATTGCTTATACAAGAAAAGGGACCAGTTGATGCTCTGGCTGCAGCTCTAGCCCATATTTCAGGTGCTACTTCCATTGAACAGCGCTCACTGCTGAACTCGGATGTGGTAAGGGTGTCTTTGTAACATTTGTCTTGAATGTGAAAATAAATAACACACCTTTGTGTTGTTTAACTAGAAAATTATTTGTCTCCTTATGGTTTTGTTTATGGGTACTGTACTTAAGCCACTAGGAACTACTAATTTAGTTAAAAGTATGAATATAGTGGCTATAAATGTACTTGCTCTCTCATAACAGTATCCACTTGAAAGCTCAGTTTATAAACTGTAAATCAGCAGGTTTCTCCTGTTTGATAGATGTGCTGAAGCTTATTCCTCTTCCTGAATTTCTTACCCTTTAGGGATTTGTTACAATGATACTACGCTGCTCAGAAGAAATAAACAATATGAGCTATGCTTGGCGAGGACTGCGAGAACTGTTGGGTGACGATGTTGATCGGAAGGTGACCAGAATGTGTTTCCTCAAGGGAAGAAAGGTGAGCTTTCTTTGTATCTTTGCTGCTGAGCTCTTCCGGTTGTAACCTTTTCTCAGCAGTTGCAAGAGGAGATATTTGGTCTTTATCCCCATGCCAGGCTCTGTTGATAAGGACATGACTGGTAGAAGGACGGGCCTCAATCTGGTTTATTACTGGTTATCTCAGGGGCTTAGGGCTCTGCTCCACTGACATGCTAAGGAGGTAGTGTAATGCGAGATACAGTATGGCTATAAGGATGACAGAACAGGCAAAAGGTACGAACCACGCTAACTGTGCCTTAATGGCAAAACTTAGAACAGAATTTCTTAGGCCAGTCAGTACTGACAGTGCATGTCCACCATATTTCTGGTCCCTAAAACTGAAAAATCAGAAATTTACTTTTTGGGTTGCCTACTTAAATGTTGCAGCAACTGTAACAAAGCTCACTGTGGGACAGTTGTTTTAAACAAAAATGATTCCCCTCACTCTTCTTGTCTCAAAATTTGTATGCATTTTCACAGATGTGAAAATGTGTGATCAAATAGTGCGTCCAGGATTATTTATTACTTCAGTTTGTGTTTCCCTGGTTTTGTGCGGTTTAGGGTGGTATGGGATGTGGTGAACAACAGATAAACTAAAAAAAAAAAACCCCAAATTGTACTGTTTTAAGATTAATTGAGAGGACACTTCAAAAGCAGATGTTAAATGAACTTTTTTGGAGAGACTTGTAATAGAAGCATTAAGATTGGTATGAGCGCAGGTGGAATGGTTGCCTTTTGGAAGTACCAGCAGGAGAGAGATGTAAAAATGCTAGATGTTGATAGCATCTAGTTCAGCAAATCATTTAAATCACAGCACATCTATGCCAATACTGAGGATACCCAGACTTGGTAAACTAGAAAGCCTAAAATAAGGGACAACCTACACTTGAACAACAGTTTAAAGATATTTTTTTTTCAATAAAAACAGTTCTTGTCTTAGGTGCTGTGTGTATTCTCTTCTACATTCTATCTTTGTGTAAAAGTTAACCTGCATGTCTTGCTGTATGAATTTCATACTTCGTTCATAAGGATTCTTGGTCAGACACTTCTGATTTTAGATTTGGCTTGAGGACACTTCTTTATGGGAGAGGGTCATAAGTTTATTGTTAAAGAACGAGAAAACGTGAATTGGAAGTACTGGCTATGCAGAGGAAAGAAAAATGTATCTGAAGAAAACATTAAAGAAGTGCAGGTGTTTTGAGAAATACTGACTCGACTCTCTCAATGGTCAAAGATTTTGAAGTATCTTAAGTCTTATAAAAACACTTTGAAATGTAAAACTGTTCTGGTACATAGATTTGTAGGCTCTGTGTTTTTTAGTTGCAGTCAATTGAAAGGCTAGACTTGTATCCATTAAAATTTTATTCTCTCTTTTTAGGGTGTGTGCTTTGATATTCCTGCAGCAGAACAAAAGAACGTAGAGGTACATTCATTGAAATTTCTGGTTACATAGACTGTAAATGAAACTGGCTGGATTGGGTTAGGCAGAAAACAGGTATCCTGCCTTCCCTAGTGGCAAGAGGGATGGCTTTGAAAGAACTGAAGAACAGAACAAGCGTACAGTATTCCTTCCCTAAAGTATTCCCATCTCCACAAATCTGTAGCTTGAAACTTTTGCACTGAGAAGCGTGGTGGTGTGAACAATCCACCCCTTGTAGCTGCTGCTGGATTAATCTTTGTAGGCAACAAGTTTTGTTATACTGTAAGATCCCCTTTTTTCGATTTCCCACCCCCCATTCTTTTCACCCAGAATTCTCTCCATGGAAAAGTGAGCTCTGGGTTTTTGCTTGCCAGAATTAGTATCCCCATGCTGAAATTCCCTAGACTTGCAATCTTTCCTTCAGGTATTTCTTTAGTGCGCCCATCCATGCCCCATTCATTCACTCCTAAAACAATGTGGATTTGTGATCAGTAATAATTGTAGCGGTATTCTTAATAAATGAAAGGTGAATAAAGAGTTTACTGATGAGGTTGCTCTGTAAAGTTCTAAGGTGGGTTTCAGTACTGTTCTATAATATCTGAGGTGCACTCAAGCAGCTATAGCTCTTATGCTTAAAATTTTGAAACCAGTATCGACCACTTTAGTTAGAACTTGAATGCTCACGATTTTACCTTTTCAGTTGAGCAAATGTAGTAATTATGAAATACCCTGTAATTGTATCCCTAGAATTTAACTTGCTGTGTCTGACTTCCAACAGGCAAAATGGGAAGATTCAAAACAATGGCGTTTGTGTGTAGCAACTGAATTACCTGAGTTGGTAGAACCACAGCGAGCAGGAGGCGGCGAAGGAAATGGCCGAAGCTTCTCAGGCTCTAGGAATGGATGGCGTGGTAACTCTGGCAGAAACAGATTCAGAAGCAGAAGCCAGAAACGAAGTTTTGACAGAGCATTTGATCGTTAACTTTAACAATCCAGAAGTGGAAAAAATGGGACTGCACTATTTTATATTACCTTAAAATAGGCTGTTCCTGTGTGTTTGTATCACTTGGAAAGAAATCTGTCATTCAAATTTTTTTTCTCAGTACTACTTTTGTCATAAACGAGATTGTGTTCACTTTAGAAAACAGAAAACTTTAAAAAAAAACCACAAAATAACAAAACTTTAAAAAAACCCACAAAACTTAAAAAAAAACTTTGAAAAAAACTGTTTAAAAAAAAAACCTCAAAACTTTAAAAAAAACACAAACTTCAAAAAACGAAAAAAACCCCCCTGTTTAAATAAAAACTCCAAACTTAAAAAGAATAAACTTTAAAAAAAGAAAAATAAGATTTATTATTTCCTTCCTTTCTTGTGTCGCCATTTTAACTGTAAGACCTAAATCTTTATCCCAGCACATGGCTGTTGCATTCAGAACTGTAGCCTTGCTTACTGTCAAACCCGTACATTTTCAAAAAGAATAAAATGTTATTTTACGAGTTCGTGTTACGTCAAAGGTTTTAAAACGTGTGTGTTGGACAAGAGTAGCGTAGTTTGAGAATCTCCTGGATTCTGAAGCGCGGCGGTGGGAGCCCCGTGAGGGGAGGAGGCAGCGGCGCGGTTAGGACCCGGTGCTCAGCGCCGGGGTCACGGGGGAAGCCGGAGGAAAGGACCGGCCGTGCAGCACCGGCGGAAGGG